AAGCAACCCCTCATACTCACTATAATTTTGAGGGGCCTCCCCAGTTTTTAATGCATTGTATCTAATACACGCTTCTTTCTTGTTCTTTATAATACTTTCAACATTCCTTGATATCCACGGTTCCCTGGACTTGCTGTCTTTTCCCTTCACTCCTAAAAGAACACGCTTGCCCTGAATTCTCACTGGATTACTTTTAAAAGACTCTCAATTTCCAAATGTAAACTTACCTGCAAGTAGCTGCTCCTAGTCTATCTTTGCCAGATCCTGTCCAATGATATTGAAATTGGTCCTTCCCAAATTTAGACACTTCTTCACCATCCTTATCCCTTTCCATAATGACGTTGAGAACTAGGGCTATGGTTACTGAACCTTCAACCAACTGATCAGCTTCATTCCCTCGGATTAGGTCAAGTACTGCCCCATTTCTAGTAGGGCTATGTACTCACAGAAAAAGCTGCCCTGGATGCACTTTAAAAACTCCAGCCCATCTAATCCTTTCAATCCCAGTTAATATTAGCAAAGTTGAAACCCCTACAACTCAAACTCTGTTTCTCTCACACCCTTTGTTTCTGTGATTTGACTATATACCTGCTCCTCTATCTCCCACTGACTTTGGGAGGACTGTAATATAAATCTAGCAAAGTGACTGGACCTTTTTTACTTCCAAGCTCCCAGGAGAAGGCTCATTTGAAGATACTGCAGTAATGGTGTCCTTTATCAATGATGTAATGCCCTCACCTCTCATATCCACCCATCGTGCCGAAAACTTCTATACCGTGGAATGTCGTGTTGCCAGTCCTCTCCTTCCTTCAGCCAACTATCAGTGATTGCAACAATTTATCATATTCACACGTGTTTATCAATGCTTTAAGTTCATTCATCTAAACAGACAAGCTCCTTGCATTAAAATACATACAATTTAACATTCTGGACCTCCCGTGCAGCTTACTGTACCCAACCCAAATCTTCTCCACCTACTGGACTGTCCTAGCATTCCTTCTGTATCCGATTTGACCTTACTCCCAACTTTACATCTATTCTGTGCCCCCACCACACCCTGGCAAATTTCCTTCCCAAAAGCCGAAGCAAAACTCCCAGCAAGGGAATCATGTTCCGATTAAGTTTGTAACTACCCCAGATGATGTCCCAAAGATCCAAAAATCTAAAGCTCTCCCTCCTACACCAACCCTTTAATCACATGTTCATCTGACCCATCTTCCTATTCCAACAGGCTGTAGCACGTGGCACTGGAAGTAATCTGGACATAACAACCTTAGTAGTCTTCCTTTTTAATCTATTACCTAACTCTCCAAATTCCTGTCGCAGGATCTCATTGCTTTGTTTTAATCCATTCATCGGTACCATGACTTGTTGGCTGTTCACCTCCCATCACTACCTCCTCCCCTTCAGAATGCCCTGCAACTGCTCTGAGATATCCCTGAACCTGGCACTAGGGAGGCAACATACCATTCAAGACTCTTGTTTGCTGCCAGAGAACCAACTGTCAGTTCCCCTTTCAACTGAGTTCCCTATCACTAAAGTTCTCCCAGTCTATTTCCTCCTCTGCTGTGTAGCAGAGCCAAACATGGCGTCAGCTGTTACCATTTTCCCGTGAGAGGCCACCCCACCCCACAACAGTACCCAACTATATCTATTTGAGAGGAGAATGGCACAGGGGACTCCTGCACTACCTGCCCACACTTATTAGTCTTCCTGGTGATCACCCAACACTTTTCTGCGTGTGTAGCCCTTGCATAGTGAGACCAGCTGACTCAACGTGCTATCCACGACATGTTCAGCATCATGGATGCTCCATAGTGAGTTCACCTACAGCTGCAGCCACTCCATGCAGTCAGTCAGGAGCTGCAGCTGAACATACTTCCTGCATACACAGTCATCATGGACATTACAAGTGTCTCTGATTTCCCACATACTTCAGGAGGAGCACTCCAAATGAAGAATGCAAAGAGTGGCAAGGGCATAACTTCCACATACAGCATCAAGAATGGGGATTTAGACAGTGACTTCACAGCAATGTTGGTGAATAAGAATCCTGAGGCTCAGGCTAATGACACAGGTTCTATAACAGTAGCTTATGAAACTTAAATTTAATTAATTAATAAATTCTGGGAGATAAAGGTGCTATTAATAATTGTAACCAGAAAACTATTAACATTGTAGAAATCTATCTGGCACACCGGTGCCCCTTCAGAAGGTAGACTGCTGTATTTACCTGACCTGGCCAACACGTGACTCAACACCCACAGTAATGTGTTGATTCTGAACTGATCTTTCAAATGGCTTAGCAAGCTGCCCAATTCAAGGACAATTAGGGAGGAAGCAACAAATGCTGGCCTTGCCAGTGACACCTACATCCCAAGAAAGAATAAAGAGAAAAAAAAAATAGCAAGCTGGCCAAGTCCTAAAGGGATACAGGTCAAAAACAGGTATATGGAGTTAGGCCACAGACAGCTGCAAGACTGTCTGCGGCAGCAAGTGAGAAAAGGAAAAAAAGCATACTAGCACTCACCTTCAACAATTTACCTTTCACAGATTCATTTGCTCATGACAATATTAATATGAGTAACAAATCCAGAATCCTTGTGGATGTGAGTCCCCATCTTTACATTGCAAATACCCTTCACTACCACCATCCTAAATGGGATAAACTTTCAATAGTTCTAGCTACTCAAAACTAGGCATCAGTGTGGTGTTGTGGTCCATCAGCAGCAACAGAATCATACTGCAACATGCAATAAATGAATTGCAAGCAATTCTAATCTGTAACCTCAGTAAGGCATATTCCCCACACTCCATTATCGTCAAACAATATTTCAATAAAGAGTTTAGGAGGGCAGGTCTGGAGGAGCACGTGGTGTACCTAAAACTAAATCAACCTGACACGTCAATGCATTCCAAATAGCGGAAACATCACATTTAACAGAGAGCTAAACAAACCCACAATTAGACGGTCAGATTTACATTCTGCAGTCCTGTTACATCTGTTGATGAGCAATTAAACGACTGGAATAGGAGGAAGCTCCAGTTATCTCCATCCTCAATGATGGGAGCAGCCTAGCACATCAGTGCCAGAGACATGGCTCAGCAGCATAAAGGAAAAAGCAACCTGCTTAACTGGCACACCTTCAACATTCACTCCCTGGACCAACAAGGCTCAGTGGCAGCAGTGTCCACAAAATGAACTCAAGCAAGGCTCTTTTGACAGAACCTCAATCTTTACTACATCGAAGAACCAGGGCAGCGGGCACAAAGGATCACCACCATTTGCAATTGTCCCCCCAAGCTACACACCATGCTGACTTTTAAAACTATTGCCATTCCTTCACTGTCACTGGGTCAAAATCCTGGAAGTCCCTGCCTAACACCACTGCAGTTTTCTACATCACAAAGACAGTAATAGTCTAAGGCAATGCCATAGCACTATCCTCTGAAGGGCAACTGGGATAAATGCTAGCCTAACTAGGATGCCCACATCCAGTTAAAAATTTTTACAATGGCACAACAGGCTGCAGTGGCTCAATATGCTACCTGTTCCTAGGTTACAAAGTTCTAAACTCTTCTTTTAGCACCATCCCAAATGAAGAAAAAGCACTGCTTTTACAAAGCATTATCTGTACTTCATTTGTTGAAGAAAGATGGAATTTGCCTTGTCTACAAAAGATATTTGTCACAGAAAAAGTTGGGGGCGGTTCAAAAAATCCATGAAAACGTACGTGCCAAAAGTCATGTTTAGAATCTTTTTCTGCGGCCATCAAGACAGGAGGCAAGAATGATGAGAAATTACATCTTTAATATTTCCACTTACGGCATCTATTATTATGTCCACAACAATGTGTATCTAATATGGGCTCAAGGCATATTTAAACTTCTGTTACCATAGCCCAATTACACATTTTAACCAATTTAAAAAAAAATGCCTTGTGACATTAACAAACCTCCATTTTCCGTTGTCATTTTTACAACCAAAAGATTCACTGAAGGTTATAATGTTAACAGTCTGGGGACTCAAATTCAATTCAGTTTGACAGGTATTCACGCTGACCCCAACAGAATGAATTTGCCAGTTTTGAATGAGACTCCGTAAAAGGGTACTTTCCTGCATTGCTTAGGGCATCTCTCGGCAGAAACCGAATTGAGCATCCATGAGTGAGGATAAATTATTCTGATCAATCACAATGGAACAGGGAGATATTTGGGATGGAAAAGAAATAAAATTTAAAATGCTTCAAAGCTTAATTAAACTGGATTTTTCCCCACTTATAATTCACTGAAATCAATTTTAGAAGATTCTGAAACCACTTCTCTCACTGTATACAGTACGCACTGAAATTACAAAATTACTTGAAAATTTTAAATTTTTGGTCAAATGTCAGCTTTAATAATTTTGCCAAAAATAATTTTCCCTGTTATGAGGCATATTATATAGAATAGTTTCTACTCCCATTCAAAATGCTGTGACTTATGTGGATTTACCACTTAATGATGATAAATGCTTCTACACTAGAGATCATCTCAAAAGCTAAGAGTTAATCTCTTTATTCAGTTTAAAGCTGCAATGTGTTGAAAGAAAGGATGCAGAGAACATCAATCATTTCTGAGAATTAACATTCTGAAGAGGTCAGTAATCTATGTACCTTTACAGGGCTCAATCAGATCCCATCCAATCTGCTGATAAAAAACCTTTCACCTTAACTGTGCTTGACAATTGGCAGTGTATCTGCATCAGACAATGCAGGCTTTTTCACAAAGATACAACCCTCAAGGTCATAATGCCAACCAGTCTCTAAGCCTGTCAGAAGAGTATTGCCTACCTCCAAACAAGCTGTCAACATAAACTTTGTCAGACAGGAGATAAAGAAACTGACAGCAAGTGATAATAGGTCTAATTTTCACACCTCCCCTGGGACAGAAATAGTTTTAAAATCAGCCTGGATCCTGATGAAGTGTTATCTGAAATGATACAACAGAAAAGGACTTACTTGAAATTCATCATCTAGAGGGTCATTGATTTCAAGGTCTAACACTTCATCATTGTACATTTCATCCCCCTGTTCTGCTGGATAATCGATTTGGTCGTCTCCAAGCTGTGTGTCATCTTCATACTCCACGCCTTCTTCCTCTTCAACATATTCGGCATGTACATAGCCCTCCATTTCTTCTTGTGCATCTTCTGCAACTTCAAGAGTTGCATTTTCATCATCTATGTCATGGTCTGCATAATGGAATATCTCTTCACTTGATTTATCACCAACACTCTTGGACAATTCTAAAGATGTACCCGCAAAAGATGCTGACGCATTCATGTCAATAGACACATCTTGGTAACTGAAAGGAAAACATAAAGACATTATATACTATGGAAATATTAATGATTTAAAATTTATCCCTCAGCATTATATTCAAAATGAAAAATAGGTGACCAAAATGTTTTATCATAAGCATCAAAATACTATCCAATTTGATTTGCAATGATGCATAAGCAACATTCAAATTTCATGACAAAGTAAAATTTGGATATATGCCAAAGTCACATGACTTCAATTAAAATTTATCTTTAATATTAACATTAATTAGCTAACAGTTTTATACCTTGCAATGGTGGCTCTAAACCATTACTACAAGTTAAGATCCTTTACACAGGTTAGTTATCTTTTAACCACATGACTAAAGACCAAAATAATGTACAAACTCAGATTCTTTCTGAAGACACCCTCACATCAGTCTGCGTAGGAAATCTGCACCCAAAACACTCTAACCAGCTCTGGACTGCTTCTACTGGCCATTCTCCCTTCAAGCAGAATTTCAGCGTTGATCTCCCCAAGAAAATTTACCCAAACTTTGTTGGTACCGTACAAATAATTACATTAATAGCCCAGGAAAACCCACAAGCATCAGTGTCAGGATCACTGGGTCACTTGATTTCACTTAGGACATTTCAGCCAAGTGCCTTGACTGGCTCTGATCTGAAATCCATCAAATTTTGCTGTTTCGCAACACCGCTAACTGTCACACATGCTTGCCTTACCTTGGGATTTCAGTGTTTTTCAGTGCAAAAGTAGTTTTACTTTTCCAATAAACATGCCAGAAAGGCTATTAAGTATGTCAATGGATGTTGTAAAAAAAAGGAATCACTATTTATTGTCATTAGCAAAGGAAGTAGACGTACTGCAAAGATTTGACTGCACTGTATAAGTGGCAAGACTGAGCGAGGTTAAGTGTTACTACCATGTATGATTTAAAGAAGCAGAAAGACAAATTGTTGAAATTTTACCGTGAAAGTGAACCTTAAAAAGTAATGATCAATAGAAAAATAATGCAAAGATCAAAAACTGAATCACTCAATTGTGTTATATTGGAGTGGATCCATCAGCGAAGTATGGTAAATGTTCCATATTCCAGCCCACTGATCAATGAAACAAGCCAACATCTACCATGAAGAGTTAAAGGTTAAAGCTGTGCATGTGCACATGACAGAAGATGGGGCCAATAACTGTGGGGATTGGGGCTGATTGCTGTCAAGAGAATGGAAGAGGTGATCACTATCAGGGGGTTGGGGACATTGAACACTGTCCATTTGGTTGAGTTTTCAATGTTGATCTTCTGATGCTGAATTTGAAACCAAAAATAAATACACACTCATAAGCTTCTTTCTGTGTGACATTTGCGTACAAAATTTTGGATCGATTAAAATCCGCTATCCATCTTATCATAGTTTCTCAATGTAACCTGGCCGAAAAACTACTTCAGGTAACATCAACTATCCTTTAATTGAAAAGTGAAATTATCCCAACTCTGATACACAACTGGTCCAGAGGTTTTCAGATAAAGAATACCTGACATGTACCTTATATTTCGAGTTATTTACAACAACCTTGCATATGAATTAATTAATTTGCTTTCAAACTTTCACAATTATTTTAAATATGAATACCTGCAAGACAAAAATATCTAGTTATTGTATGTGTAGTCTATTTATAAAGTGTGATCACTAGCAAAGTATGTATTTGTTATTGAAACTGCAGAAAATTGTCTTGCTTTCTTATTACATTCTTGCATATTTTGTGTTGACATTTTCCATTATAATCGACACTTATTAAAAGAAAAGGCCTTTGTAAACCTGTCATTCTGACTGCACAATATTACCACCATGCAATGCAATTGATCCTAAGAACAACTACGGAATGGACACTGTAAATCCACAAAAACTGAACAGAATGCACATTTACCTGTATTAGCTAGCTTTTAACCTGATTTGAGACTGGGGTCCTGGCTGGCATATTCAAGAAGGGTAACCTGGGTATTTGGAAGTACAGTTCTAACAAAACACTCATTTTGTCAAAATTTTTAGTTTTGCACTCAACAAGACAATTCACAAGAATACCATTTTAGGGAGAAAGCCAACATTTACACTGTATAAGAACAAGAGTACTGAGTGGTTAGCAAGTGGACTCTAATTGGCACAGGCTTTGTTAATCAGTTAATGATAGGCAATTAACTGTCAGGGTCTAAATTTTAAACCAGGCAGGCTGACCCTGATTAGTCAAGGCCCTAGGTATTAAGTCGCTTCAACTCATAAGTGCACCATACTGCATGCCCAACTGACAATCTTAATTTATAATTCTTCATCACTCAAATTTCCAGCAAAAACATTTAATGTTGGGCGCTCTATTTCAGGTTTTGCAAAAGGGACAGGCTAGATACAGTCGTACCCACATTGTTGAAAACTGCAAAATAAATTTGTTGCTTAAAAGAACTCTGAAGTCTTTGGGACTCGCACTGTATATTTCTGGCATCACACTGGCTCTGAAATTTACATACCATATCACTCATTTGTACAGTATACAGAATGTTTTTCAGACTTCAATTCAACATCCTGTTACTGGAAAATACCACATATATTGTAAGAGCTTGAAACAGTTAGCTTCACAAATTGTTAAAACTTTTCAGTATTTTTTAACCCATCCGGAGTAATGAGAGGTCAACTAGGGGACTTCACAAATAGGATTCAAGCTATTTGTTCATTGCGAAAGCTTCTTAAGAAAATAGGATGCATCACAGAAACCAGTATTCCACACGATCAAATCATTTTTAGCAAAGTCATGAACATCCCAAAGGCCAACCCCAGGCTTTTTCAGCAATATTCAAGTTGTACACTATCAAAAAGCATTTGGAAGTCAGTTGCTGCAAATATGGCAGTTAACTATAAAACCATAAGAAATAGCAACTGGAATATGCTGTTTGGTCCATCGAGCGTGCTCCACTATGCAAAACGATCATGACCGATCCAACATTTCTCGCGTCCACTTTTCCTGCTGTTTTCCCATAAGCCTCGATTCCCAGACTCATCAATAATCTGTCTATTCTCAGCCTTTCACATACAAGAATTTTCCCTCTCAGCTCACAGTAGCAAGGAGCTCCAAAGACACACAAGTTCTCAGAATAAATTTCTCCTCATCTCAGTCTTAAATTGGTATCCCTTTATTCTGAAACTATACACTCTGGTCCTAGACTCTCCTCAATATTTACCCTACTAAACCCCGAAATAAGCCTATATATTTCAATAAGATCATCTCCAGTCATCCAAATTGCAATGAATACAGTCCCCAACCTAAAGACAACTCTCCATACCAGGGATGATCCTGCTCTCAGCTGCCTTCAATGAAATGGTATCTTTTCTTGAATAAGGGGACTAAAACTGCTCTGTGTTCCAGCTGTGATCTCACCAGCACCTTGTACAGTTATAGTAAGACTTCCCTACTCTTATACTCCAACCCCTTAAAATAAGTACCAACATCCCATTAGCATGCCTGATTACCTGCTGTACTTGCGTAGCTTTCTGTGTTTCATGCACAACTACCCCCAAATCCCTTTGTGTTGCAGCTTTCTGCAGTTTTTCTCCATTTAAATAATATTCTGCTCTTTTAATGTCTCTTTCAAAATGAATTTTAAATTTTCACACATTATCATCAATTTGCCAACTTTCCGTCCAAAGTAACCTATCCATATCTCTCTGTAAACTGTTTATATCCCTCTTGCAACCTAATGTTCCACTTGTTTTTGTGTTGTCTGCAAATCTGGCTACAGTATATTCACTTCCTTCCTCCAAGTCATTAACACGTACTGTAAACAGTCATGGCTCCAGCACCAATCACTGTCCAACCTCACTGGTAATGAGTTACCAAACTGAAAAATTCCTTTTCCCACTCTGTTTCTTGCCTATTATGCAATCTCTATCCATGCTAACATACTACCTCCAACACTTTGGACTCTTATCCTATAACTTAACATTTTGTAAGGTACCTTGTCAAACGCGTTCTGGAAGTGTAAATACTACAGAGTCATACAGTCATATTACATGGAAACAGATCCTTCGGTCCAACCAGTCCATGACGAACATAATCCCAAACTAAACTAGTCCCACCTGCCTGCTCCTGGCCCATATCCCTCCAAACCTTTCCTTTCATGTACATGCCTTTTAAAGATATAATTGTACCCACATCCACATCTTCCTCAGGAAGTTCATTCCACACGTGATCCATCCTCTACATAAAAAATTTGCCTCATGTCGTTTTACATCTGTCTCCTCTTATGCTGATTCCCCTCTATCCATGCTGGTTGAGACTTCTTCGAGAAATACTAATAAATTGATCAGACAGGATTTGCCTTTCATGAAGCCGTGCTGACTCTGTTTGATTAGGTTACGATTTTCCAAATTTTCTGTGATTATTTCCTTCATGATTGATTCCAATACTTTTCCAACAATAGATGTTAGACTTAATGACCAACAGTTAAGCGCTTTGCCTCCCTCCATTTATGAATAAGAGTGTCGCATTAGCAGTTTTCCAATCTTCCGGTACTTCTCCAGAATCTAATGATTTTTGGGAAATTACAATGCATCCACTATCCCTGTATTTACCTCTTTTAGGATCCTAGGATACAAGATATCTCTTCCTTTAATCTACTTCAAATACTACTTCTTTTGTGATAGTGATAGGACTTAATTCTCCCTTTTTCTTTACCATGCTTCATTTGGGTGTGAGGGTTTGAGAGGTGGGTGGCATTATGATCTGATTTGGCTAATGGCTTTCCAAAACTTTCACCTTAGATGCACTCTTTGATGGCTGCAGGGATTTAGAAGAGAAAGTCGTGGAGAACAGTAGGTAGAAATAAAACACAACTATCAATGGGGGAGGTGGCGGCATGGTGATTACGGCACCAGGTTAGTAATCCAGATGAACATATCTGTTGACATACCCAAAATGCACACACTTAGTAACCACCCCAGAGATGTAATTCCATCTCATGCACTCATTTATTTGTGAGCC